GAGAGAGAGAGAGAGAGAGAGAGAGAGAGAGAGAGAGAGACAGAGACAGAGAGACAGAGACAGAGAGAGAGAGACCGACAGACAGACAGAGAGAGACAGACAGACAGACAGACAGAGACAGACAGACAGACAGACAGACAGACAGACAGACAGACAGACAGACAGACAGACAGACAGACAGACAGACAGACAGAGACAGACAGAGACAGACAGACAGACAGAGACAGACAGAGACAGACAGACAGACAGAGACAGACAGAGAGACAGACAGAGACAGACAGAGACAGACAGACAGACAGAGACAGACAGAGACAGACAGACAGAGAGACAGAGAGAGAGACAGAGAGAGACAGAGAGAGACAGAGAGAGACAGAGAGAGACAGAGAGAGACAGAGAGAGACAGAGAGACAGAGAGAGACAGAGAGAGACAGAGAGAGACAGAGAGAGACAGAGAGAGACAATTGGCATCAAGATGTGAATTGCCTCAAAAGCCAGGCGGCCTGCCCACACCAGCGAAATACAATGTGTCATGTACATCAACATGTACACGCAGGGAAAGGATCGCGTTGCCCCAGTTGCCCCGAGTGGATCAAGCCGTTGTCGATAAATGTGCCAAGTTGCTTCCATCGACCGAGACGGACATACAGCCAGAGAGACAAAGCGATCTGGAGATGCCATGTACATCCCAACCTCCTTCGAAGCACCATCTCATCCGATCATGTTGTGCATGGCACTGAGTGCTTTCATCAATCGTCAAGTGCATTCAATTTCGAGAATGAGAGAGAGAGACAGAGAGAGAGAGAGAGAGAGAGAGAGAGAGAGAGAGAGAGAGAGAGAGACGATACCAAGCGTGCGCGGTTAGAAATATATCCCAGAGCTCACTCTGGAGCTTGGGGCCTACAAGGCTGGGTAAAATGGTCGATTACGAAGACAGTCATCGTTTAAATCATGCTCGTCTCGCCGAGCTCATTGACTTCAGGCAGCACCTTGCTTTCGGGTGCTTCCTTGGACCCGTCGATGTCAATGGTGACATCTTCAAAGCGCACAAGGTTGCGCGAGCCCACACTTGCGCGGGGTTTGGCGCGTGCCGAAGTGGCCGAAGATCGACGGCGGTTTTTGCTCGACACATTGTCGAGAATTACGCTCACAGAGTCAATCTTGCTATCGTCCGCTTCCTTCAGGTATTGCACGCTGGAGACGCGACTGGCCATACTGGCCACCGAAAAGGCACTCACGTGTGAGCGGCGCTTGTTCTTGGCTGCAGCCTCAGCCTCCATCGTGTCGGGGGCCTGGTTCAGCCAGAACGTCTGCATCTTGCCCAAGCCCTTGATCGTCACGATCGGGTTGCGCTTGATCACTTTGAGTGAAGCATCCTGCTTCTGCACCAACGCCGCCGCCTCCGGTGAAATGTGAATGCAGTTTCGCACGCTGTTGCTCTCCATTCGCGACGCACAGTTCACAGTCGATCCGAACAGACAGAATCGCGGCGTCAGCGTTCCCACCACATTGCTCACAACAGGTCCGCTGTGGAAGCCCACACGAATGTCAATGTGGTCGCCATCCGGCTCGTCCTCCAGAATCGGAATGGCGTTGGCGGCTTCCATAGCGTCCATTGCAAACCGCGCCACCCGCGCTGCATGATCCAGCTGTGTCGTAAACAGGTTGCCCACGCACATGTACGCGTCCCCAATCGTCTCAATCTTGTACAGTCCGTGCTTGTCGCAAAGGGCATCAAACACGGTGTAGAGACGGTTGAGCATGTTAGACACCTGTACCGGCTCCAGCGTAGCGCTCATGTCCGTAAAGCCACAAATGTCCGAGAAAAAGATGGTCACCTCGGCATGATGTTCCGGCTCTGTGATAAGGCACCCAACGCATGAGAGCAAGGTTTGCATAGATATCAAGAGTGTGAAAGGCAACGACACGGGTACACAAAGGACTTTTAAAGACACATACCGACAGTGCGCCCCTCGCGCAAGGCTGCTGCAATGTGCTTGGGGAAGACCTGCTCCAGGAGCGCATCGTCTTGGAGGGTGGCATGTGTCTTGCGAGAATTGGCCTTCATTTTGCCCTCGAGAGGCTCAGTGCGGCGGAGCAGCTCGATAAATGTAGGACGCGTTTCGGAATCCGTCGAGAGAGCTTCCTACTCAAAGATACGCCCGAAACACAAACCCCTTGTAAGTTGAGATGTAGCTTCAGGTGCGTTTGGCACTTCGCCGTCAAAGTAGCCTCGAGCAAGTTTCACGCACGTTCATCAAGACGGCATATTCGTTGGGCATGTTCGGTGGGGCAGCAGGGCGAAGCTTGCGGCGCAGAATGTTTTGTACCAGGGTCTCCGAGTCGTACTCCACATCATCATAGGGATCCGCGCGAGCAAAGACCTCAAACATGACAATGCCAAAGCTGTACACGTCGCTGGCAAATGAGGTGCTGCCACCCTGCAAAAGCTCTATAAACACACAAAAGCCCCGTAGTCAAAAGAAGACAGGAGGTTAGGTGTGTACATGGCAACTATGGTTACGCTACAGGAAAAGCGGCAATTGAGCATGACACGAACCAGGCGCCATCCAGGCCAGGGTGCCACCCTGCTGGGAGTGTTCATCCGAAAAGGCGGCCATGCCAAAGTCAGACACCTTCACATGGAATTTGCCGTCCACCAAGCAGTTCTGTAATATAGGGCAGGTGCATGTACGATTAGCAAGGATAGGCGAGGGAAGGACATGGTTGCTTTGCTTTGACAAATGCAGTGCCAACGATCACTCAAGCGGACCAACGAACCAAGGCCTTGAGGTCACCGTGAACCAGGTCGGAATTGTGCAAGTAACGCATGCCACTAATAATGTCGTGAAGGGCGTTATAGCGGAAGTCGTCATCCAAATCCATGGCTTCGTTGTGGAGCATGTTGTAGAGAGAGCCCATCTCCATGCATTCCCTGTGATGGGCAAGACGTAAGCAAAAGATGAGGATTTCTGACAGAATGAGATCGACAATCAGCGGCATGCGAAGCATTGTTGAGGCCATTTGCAGACTCACAGCACCATCAGAGGCTCCATGCCTGATTCGACAACGGCGCCCAGCATGCGGCAGATGTTGTCATGCTGCATGCGGCTCAGCAGGCGCATCTCACGGAAAAGTTGGCGACGCGCACGTGTCTCGGCGGAAGGACCAAAAATGCGCACCCACCACGGCTTGGCGGCGCGAGTCGCGTGGGTGGATCGCGCAGCAGAGTGACCATGGCTGCTAAACTCGGCAGCGGCAGCTTCGGCTTCGATGAAAAAGTTTCGCATGCGCAAACGCGCACTGCGATCGCGAGCCCGAGATTGGTTGTGTCCGCCAAAATGGAACCCAGACGAGGTGCTGGCATTGGTGGTGTTGGTGCGTGATGCATGGCGATACTTGTTGCTTTTGTTAACATAAGCACGCTTGACGGCCACCATTTGGCCACGCAGCTTGGCGGCAAGGACCACACCGTAGGAGCCAGCTCCCAGCACCTCGGGAGGTTGTTCCAGAATGAGCTCGCTGGGATTGATTTGCCAGATGCCATCTGCCTTGAGATGTTGGCGGTGAACCAGGTACAAGATCAGAACGGCAACAAAGACAATGACGGGGCCCAGGATGATGGCGGCTAAGACGCCGAGTGGTTGGCAGACGCCAATGACCTTGATGGCACCGTTGCTGCAAGTACAAGAGCCATCGATCGAGTACGTCTCCAACTCTCCACAAGCTCTGATGCAGGGCCTGCACACGCAGGTGTAGTTGTAGCCGGGACGATAGGGGCATGAATAACCCTTGGCGGCACTGCAGGACATGTCTTTGGCCTGCTTGAAACCAAATGGACAGACAATGTCAGTTGAGTCGGAGTTCATGCTGGCACAATTCTTGACGCCGTCGACGGTTTGCAACAAGCTCAAGTCCTCCTGTGGGCACCATCAAAATTGGGACAGCTGTAAGACTGCAATGCAGACAAAAGCAGCTGATAAATTCGACAAGGAGGACGTACAAGCAGATCAATGGTGTTCATGTAGGCCAGGGGAGGGCGCCAATAGCTGAGTGTGGCAGCGTTGGCCTTCTTATAAAACGAGTTGTTGAACTGAAAGAGGGATGCCACAGGACCTTGAATATCCTGCAAAGAACAAGCGAGATTGGAGCCCAAGGCAAGGTTGTCAGGCCTTTGCTACCATCACCAGTAGATGTGCCCACACCTCAAAATCAGAAGCTGAGCAAACCGGCAGTCTTACATTTTCACTCAAATGGGTAATGGCAGACAGGACCCAGTCTAAGAGATTCGTAGCAAGCGCATCGGTTCATAATGAGAAAACAACGCAGCCTCTATGAGAGTGAGTTTGTTCTTGTGCCCCGGCTGCGAGATGCAAAGTACGCCTTACCGCCGTAGAGATCAGTGGAGCAACGAAACGGATATGGGACGCCATTGCGCAGGCGATGGTTGTACTCATTAATAAATCGAATATCAGGCGTGTGAATCAGACCGGCCTCGACCATTTCTAAGACAAGAACGTGATCAACGTGAGATAAGCATAATCGGTCTGCTCATAATTTTTTTTTTTGTTCTTACCTTCGATGATACCACTCTGCACAAAACCAACGTCGGCGGTGCCATTGAGGACCTCCCAGACGACTTGAAAAAAATTTCCAGTAAAGATAACCTAATCATTCACAGACCGAGAAAGAGGCCATGAGGAAAGGATGCGGGTGTGCAGCAGAGCAGCTTGAGGATCGTTAGACTGCGTTGCGTACCTCGGGGACCTCGTCGAAGAGTATCATGCCAGCACGGTACATTTCGTAGCGCTGGGCTTGAAATCCAAAGAGGGAATCAAAGCCCATAGCAGCCACCGTCTTGCCCTTGATGTCTTCGATTGTTTTGATGTTCTTGAGCTCGTGGCGAGTGAAGATGACGCCAGCAGAGTCGGACACATCCACGCCTGAATCCACACGAGCCGAGTTATGGGCAAGAATCAAAAGAGTGGAATACATAATAAATCATTAAAAACAAAAAAGCCCCAAAAAAAGAAAAGGCGTACCATTGAATCGGCGCACAATGGTTGCCACAGGGGCAATGTTGTACTCAGCAGCCATGCAGCCAAAGAGATCGCTTGGTGTAAAGGCAAGATCAATCTTGCCCACACGGGCCAGCTCACGGACTTCTGTGGCAGTGCCAATCACGTATTTGGGTTCGATGTTGAGAAGATACATAGTGGCATCGATGTCCTTGCGTGCAATGTGGTAGCCAACTGAATAGAGGGAAGGAGGAGAAAAAAAGCAACATCAGCAGCGTCAGCTGATTGAGCCGATGATTGGCAGTGGGTAGCAGTGGGCAGGAGATGACGCACAGTTATCGACCATGCCAATACGGGGCCGTGAGCCGTTGACCGAAATCAGGGCGGCTTCCAAAGGCCCAACGAGGGCCGCGATGGCAAAGGCCATCAGCAGGTGACGTGAGGTCATAGCCCCGGTTCACGCAAGATGAAGAAACGGCGGCGAGAGAGAAGCGTGTTGTTGTTGTCGTTGTAGAAGTAATAGGAGTAGTAGTAGTAGTAGTAGTAGTAGTAGTAGTAGTAGTAGTAGTTGTAGTTGTTCTGAGAGGAAGGGCGCGATGGAGAAAAATGCCCGATGTTGAACGCGGGCGCGGCCAACAGCCAAGATCTCAGGGTGCGGTGCGGGCGAGGGGCTTCTTACTGCCCAGCTCATTGTGGGGCAGGAAGGGGTGATTCGAACTAGCCAAACATACCACCACGACGCTGGGAGGGGTTCGCTGAAAACCAACTCACTGACACAGGACGAATCGAACCTTTTTGCGCAAGCCCACAATGATCAGTAAACCCCGCTTTCGCTTCGCTCCCCCCCTCCGCCCCCCGGCTCTCCGCTTCAACATCACCCAGCCCGACCAGCCCCCATCATGGGCACCAGCCCCCCCAACATCATGGCCCTGCCCTGTACATGTACTTGCATGATGGGTTGATGTCTCCGGACATAACGCGGACAGGGTTGGGTCAAATTACGTAAAAGAAAGAGAGAAAAACGGTACAAAGTACTTTGAGCGGACAGGATGACCGTCAGCAGTGTTGTCAAGGTCATGCAACATGCGTGAATATTGAGTTAAGCTTGCATCAAACATTGGAATGAATGTTGTGAACTCACCCACGACGTCCTCACTCGACCTTACTCACACCCAACGCGGTGTGTACCCCAAGACATGGCGTTGGGGACAAACACGCAAGATAGTCGGTCGGTCACGCTGTTTTCGTCGGAATCGACATTGTCATCATGCAAGAGTTTTGGTTGTCACAACTTAAACTTGAAGTTTACATGCATAAACTACCTTTGGTTCGATTAACAAAACAGCAGAAGGTGCAATTCAATCCGATTTTACTGTTCGTTGCGTGTATTTCAGAAGGCATTGGAGGGAGGGGGGGGGGCATCATATCATGCCTGCCTTGTCCCCTCCCTCGCCAGTTAGCATTGGCTCTCCTTGTCCCTCCTCCTCCTACCTCCTTCTCTGCCTTCGGCTGCCAATGCAAGCCAGGACCGTTGTGGGCACTCAAGAGTATCGAAGAGGCAAGCGAATGATGATCGTCTCTTTTCTACCCGGGAATGGTTGGTCTGGCGGCTCAGGGCCTCAAGGTTGGCTGAGTACGGAAGTTGCCATGGGCAGCCTGTCAGAGCGATAAAAAGAGGCACACCTGCACCACACTTGGGTTGGGTTCGAAAGCAAACGGCGCGCAGCTATGGTTGGGCAGGAATCGCAATTGGGTTGGGTCCATTGTTGAGGAGTTCGAAGGCGTCAATTCAATCAGTCAGGTTTGCAAAATGTGAGAGGTCCTTTGCCTCGGATGATATTGACATTGGATAAAACAGGGTGAGCGGGGGGCGCTCTTTGGTCCTCAAGGACTCTTTTGGCAGGGCGTCCCAACATTTCAACAGAACCCCAATTGGACCGTTGATGACATGGTTCTGAAGAAATTGAAAAATCTTACGCTAGACGCTGCTGTCCATAACGAGCTCAATATCCACCACGCTAGCTGCGGTGAGGTCCGTATCCGTCGACTTGGCGCAGCTGCTATCGTCATCAATCTTGAGCGTCACAGCTGATTTGGAAAGGGGTGAGCCGATGAGATGTTGTTGTTCCTTCACCAAAGGCTCGTCGGAAATAATATCCACAGCCACGCTGTCAAACATAACCTGCGGGGCCATGGGCGAAGGAGGGACCACCAAATCCCGAATGTTTGAAGGCCTGCGCGAGTTGGGAACCGAGGCCAGACTGCGCATCGAAGCCACACTGAATTGTGACTTGCGCGATTTGCGATTCACTGGCACTTCCATGCTTGCTTCACTCGGCGGTGCATGTCCTAGCCAGTACGTCTGCATCTTGCCCAGGCCCTTGATCGTCACAACAGGATCACGACGAATCACGTTCAGCGACACATCCTGCTTCTGCACCAGCGCCGCCGCCTCCGGTGACATGTGAATGCAGTTCCGCACGCTGTTGCTCTCCATCCGCGACGCACAGTTCACAGTGGATCCAAACAGACAGAATCGCGGCGTCAGCGTCCCCACCACATTGCTCACAACGGGCCCGCTGTGGAAGCCCACACGAATGTCAATGTGGTCGCCATCCGGCTCGTCCTCCAGGATCGGAATCGCATTGGCCCCCGCCAGCGCATCCATCGCAAACCGCGCCACACGCGCCGCATGATCCGGCTGGGGCGTAAACAGGTTGCCCACGCACATGTACGCGTCCCCAATCGTCTCAATCTTGTACAGTCCGTGCTTGTCGCACAGCTTGTCAAACACCGTGTACAGGCGATCCAGCATGTTGGACACCTGCACCGGCTCCAGGGTAGCGCTCATGTCCGTAAAGCCACAAATGTCCGAGAAGAAGATGGTCACCTCGGCATGGTGCTCCGGCTCTGTGCAAAGGAACGGAACAGAAAAGCGAAAAGACTCAGTGAGGTGAATGTGTGTGGGGTCGAGATGCTTGTCATGCTCTGAGGGCACGCCTTCGTCAGCATGTGCTGCGAAAGAAGCAAGGGCGCGTACCGATAGTTCGGCCCTCGCGGAGGGCCGTGGCAATGTGTTTGGGGAAGACTTGTTCCAACAGGGCGTTGTCCTGAAAGGCACCCTTGCGCGCATTGACCTTCATCTTGCCCTCGAGAGGTTCAATGCGACGCATCAGCTCGATAAAGGTGGGCCGGGTGTCTGGGTCGGAAGCCAATGCCTCCTACGAATTCAACAGAGGGGTGAGATCATGCCAGTGCCAGGCTAAGATCAAGAACATGGCATTCGAAGGAAGACCTCTTGCAAACCTACATTCATGAGGACCGCAAACTCCGGAGGCATGCTGGAAGGTGGCGTTGGGCGTAGCTTTCGGCGCACGATGTTTTGCACAAGCATCTGTGTGTCATACTCCACATCCTCATAGGGATCTTCGCGAGCAAAAATCTCAAACATGACGATGCCAAAGCTGTAAACATCACTTTCAAAGGTGGTAATGCCGCCCTGGAGCAGCTCTGCATATATACCGCATGCGCACGTATTTATTTATATCAGCCGGAAGCGCTATACCGCAATTCTGAAGCGAGAAGCGGAAAAAAAGTCGAGCTACTGACCGGGTGCCATCCATGAAAGTGTGCCGCCGCGCTGGCTATGCTCCGAGGCGAAGCCTGCCATGCCAAAGTCGGACACTTTGACGTGGAATTTGCTGTCCACCAAGCAATTCTGCGGTGTGTTCTGGTCGTGAGCCTTCGTCTATGCCCTCAAACAAGAGTCGAGGTGGCACGCACTTACCAAAGCCTTCAAATCGCCGTGAATAAGATCTGCGTTGTGCAGATATCGCATTCCACTGGTAATGTCATGAAGTGCGTTGTAGCGAAAGTCATCGTCCAGATCCATGGCCTCGTTGTGAAGCATGCTGTATAGTGAGCCCATTTCCATGTACTCCCTGCCACAACAGCACGCGCCAAGCATATGAGATTGCAAACAGGAATGGCTTCAACCCCATCCCCCACGCGGTCCTTAGCACGTACAGAATCATCAAAGGCTCCATGCCCGACTCGACAACGGCGCCCATCATGCGACAAATGTTGTCATGCTGCATGCGGCTCAGCAAGCGCATCTCACGAAAGAGCTGGCGCCGAGCGCGCGTCTCAGCAGAAGGGCCGAACAAACGCTCATACCAAGGGCGTCGAGACATGGTCGTTGCCCGGCCCGATCGATTGGTCGAGCCGTGGGTGCTTCCAAGCTTTTCGGCCACGGCCTCGGCTTCTGCAAACACGTTGCGCACGAGTTGCCGGGCCGTGCGCTCCTTGCTTTTGCCCGTTTGTTGTCGGTGGGAGCGAAAGGGCAAGCCATACGCGTTATTGGTACCACTCTTCATGATGCTTTCGGTGGTCTTGCTGGAGGTTCGAAACTTGCCGTGCTTGCTGACATAAGCACGCTTGACAGCCACCATTTGCCCGCGGAGCTTGGCAGCCAGCACAACACCAAAGGATCCTGAACCCAAGACCTCAGCTGGCTGTTCAATGACCAGCTCACTGGGATCAACTTGCCAAATGCCGTCGGCTTTGAGGCGCTGGCGGTAGAGAAGATACACAATCAAAAGACCCACCAGCAGTGCAATGGGAACAATGACTTGCACAATGAAGACGCCAAGCTCGAAACAAGAGGCGCCGACTCGCACGAAGCCGGTTTTGCAACGGCACGTTCCGTCCATGGTGTAGGTTTCGTCGGAGGGACAAATCTGGACACAAGGTTCACAAACACAAGTGTAGTTGAAACCCTCGCGCTCAGGGCAGGAGTACAGGCTTGTGGTGTCACAGGAAACGTCTTTGGCTTGAGTCCAACCAAACGCGCAGACCACGTCTGCCGTGCTCGAGCTCATTTTTTCGCAGCTTTTTTGGTATGACTCATCCTCGACCATGATTGTCAAATCCTCCTGCCAAGGAGGTATCCACAGTACGTGTGCATTGTGAGAACACTATGGCTGATCGACCAGTGTGTTTGTCTTATCAACGCTTTGGTTATCGAGACAACAAGAACAAAGCCAAAGACATGGCCAAGACCTCACCAGCAAGCCCAGCGTATTGATGTACGCGAGGGGTGGGCGGAAATAGCTAATTCCGTTCAAGCCGAGCGCTTCGAAATGACTTGCGTTAAACTCGAAAAGATCCGACACTGCGGTGTGAACCAGCTACTCACATCCAACAAGGCCGGTCAGAGATGCTGGCTTCAAGGGCTGGTTCTGAGGTGCACACATGCTCAAAGACGAGGCCACACGCCTGTACTTGCCTGCTCGGGCAAGTTACCCACGGACGCCAAGACCCATTCTAGGATGAGCAGTAGATATGCATTGGTAAGGTGCAGGTCAAGTTGATACAACCACAAGAAGATTTCAGCGCAAAGACGTTCTGTGCTTACCACCAAATAGACCCGTGGAGCAACGAAAAGGGTAAGCTTCGCCACTAGCAAAACGATGGTTGTACTCGTTGAGAAAGTTGATGTCTGGCGTGAACACAAGACCCTGCTTTACCATGGCTGTGCAACCAGAAGGTTTCATCAAAAGTAGGTTTTTCGAGCAGGCTCCTGGGCTTTTTCAGTTTGGGCGAGTCTACCAGTGGCTAACATACCATCGATCACGCCACTTGTGACAAATCCCACGTCCGCAGTGCCGTTGAGAACCTCCCAAACGACTTGTTCGGCATCGCCGGTGTAAATGACCTAAAAATAAAACAAGAAGATTAAACTTTGAGTCAAAGCTCAGCAGGGCGAGTGCCACCCCTAATATTGTCAAGAAATCCTATCTTCCAGCCAAGGTGTGTACCTGGGGGAACAGCTCATAGACGTTGAGGCCTTGCTTCCAGAGCTCATGGCGTTGAGCTTGAAACCCGAGAAGCGAATCGCGCCCGATGGCAGCCAAGACCCTGCCTTTGAAGTCGTCAATGCTCTTGACACTGCTGTGAATAGAGGTAAACATGACGCCACCCGAATAGGCCACATCCACATCTGTGTCAGTGGCGATCATGGCATGCAAGGGGTGAACCCTAGTGAAGAGAATCATCTGAGTTTGCAAAGAAGAGTCCTCCCGCAAACGGACCGTTGAGGCGGCGCACGACGCCTGCCAAAGGAGTGACACCATACTCGGTGGCCATGCACACGAACAGATCGCTGGGTGTGTAGGTGGCGTCTAGCTTGCCAATGCGGGCGAGGTCTCGGATGGTAGCGTGTGGCGCGACGATGATATCAACGTCGAGGCCCAGCAACTCCATGGTGACTTTCATTTCCTCGACAGCACGCGTGCGCGCATCTATGGAACGCGGGACAAGACCCCGGTGAGGCGCGAGGTGCAAGGCGAGAAATTTCAAATGATCGTGGCATTGTGCTTGGGGCAAGACTTACAGTTATCAAGCAGACCGAGGCGAAAAGGCTGCTTTGTCACCGGTGCCATGGTCGTGGTGACGGTTGAATTTTGGGCAGCTACAATGGCTGTTGCCACGATCACCACCAGGGCAATGCGGGCCAGCATAGCGCTGGTCGATGCTGCGGTTACCGAACAGAAAGCAGCCTTGATCAAAAGATCGGGTGCGCAGTCCTTTGCCAAGCAGCAGGAGCAACCAGCTTGCAAGTTGAGAGTGGCAAGGTGTTGTGTCCACCGAGTCGAGGATAAAAATGCCTTTTTTTCAGGGAGACAATTGACAACCAGTGGCGCTCAGCAACAACGAGGCACACGTTGTTATGATTTGAAACCCAGGGACGAGCCGTTTTTGTTGATGTTCATGCCATGCCATGCCATGCCATGCCACGCTATGCGATGTCATACCATGCGATGCGAGAGTTTGTGTTCACGATGCAACTGACTCGCATGTCAAATTGACAGGGGTTGTTGAGCGGACCCTGCGAGATCGCCCCAATCCAAGATTGAGTGTTGGGACAGTGCTTACATCACTTTCTGACTTCGGCTCACACCTTCATGATTCAACGAAAAGCATCCTTTTTTCTTCTGAACTAGGACACGAACTTTGATTTCGTATTGTCAGCGTAAAACCACACCCACACTCACACACAGACACACACTCAAATGCCACAAATACTCATACACATAACGATTTTGTTGTGAATGGGATTCTGTTGTCTCTTCATGACTTGGCTGTCTTCCACTTCGGCAGAATAGACGGGTGTTCAAGTCTGATGGGCATCATCTCATGCTTGTGATGAAAGCAATTGGACCGGACGCTTGTTCAAGCACAACCAAGTTCAATGTAACCAAAAGGCGATCGGGCAGAAGCCATGACATGACGGCCATGGCTGGTGCAGCGGGCTGGTGCCTCGTTGTGCCTGACACGATTGACCAGCGAACCCAACCACCAGCCAGAAGGCTGGCATCTGGTCTTCTGACCACCCAAGCGACGCGGCTGGGTTACCAGGCCGCACCCTTCTTGATGATTGGGGCAGAACAAGCACGTCAACTCATGATTGCCTGCCACAACAGCCGCCAACAGCACACACGACCCTGTTTTGCGAGACCCTCTTTCATTTAGGGGTCTTTTCTTGCATTTGCAGACGAGGCAGGAGGCGTGCCAAACCTCGTGGCTTCAACAAAAAGAAACATGTTTAACATGATTCAATAGAAAGTGGTCGAACCTCGCTTTTCCCTGATCTAAGGAACGCAAGTTGATAACAGTGCGCGATGGCATGCCAGCCTCGAGATAACATTCATCATACGTCTAAATAATTGTCCATCAACTCGTAATGGCCTGCATTGAAGAGCCGAGACCCAGGTCTCTCTTAAGGTACAAAGACACACATTTACATCGTCGTGTAACACGAAAAAAGCGAAATCTGTCACGCCGTTTCTCCTAAAGACATACGTGGCAGCAATGCAAAATTCTCGTCACGATCACGTCCTAAACAGCTGAGTCACCCATGACTTTGACGTTTTGGTCTGCGGAGACAGGGGCAAGCTGAGTCAGGTTCAGCTTGGGTTCATCAGGCATAATGCTAACGGTTGTGGCCGACTCAGATAGAGAGGACAGTTGCGTTTCGCCGTCATCGGTGTTCGTTTCCGAAGCAGTGTTGGACCTAGCAAGAGCCTCATCCTCATCCTGCCACCCCGCATCCATGTCCACGGCCACTTCATCGAAGATGACATGAGGCGTTTCAGGGATGCGAGCCCGGACGGATGCGGCTGCGTTGGTATCCTGAAGCATGGAAGCACGACGCGAACTACGACGCGAAGCCACGCTCAAAAGTGACTTCCGTGCCGGTTTCGCCGCCTCGGCCTCTTGAGTAGACGGTGCATGCCCCAACCAATACGTCTGCATCTTGCCCAGGCCCTTGATCGTCACAACAGGGTCACGACGAATCACGTTCAGCGACACATCTTGCTTCTGCACCAGCGCTGCCGCCTCCGGTGACATGTGAATGCAGTTCCGCACACTGTTGCTCTCCATCCGCGATGCACAATTCACTGTCGATCCAAACAGACAGAATCGCGGCGTCAACGTCCCCACCACGTTGCTCACAACAGGTCCGCTGTGGAAGCCCACACGAATGTCAATGTGGTCGCCATCCGGCTCGTCCTCCAGAATCGGAATCGCATTGGCCCCCGCCAGCGCATCCATCGCAAACCGCGCCACACGCGCCGCATGATCCGGCTGAGGCGTAAACAGGTTGCCCACGCACATGTACGCGTCCCCAATCGTCTCAATCTTGTACAGTCCGTGCTTGTCGCACAGCTTGTCAAACACCGTGTACAGGCGATCCAGCATGTTGGACACCTGCACCGGCTCCAGGGTAGCGCTCATGTCCGTAAAGCCACAAATGTCCGAGAAGAAGATGGTCACCTCGGCATGGTGCTCCGGCTCTGTGCAAAGGAACGGAACAGAAAAGCGAAAAGACTCAGTGAGGTGAATGTGTGTGGGGTTGAGATGCTTGTCATGCTCTGAGGGCACGCCTTCGTCAGCATGTGCTGCGAAAGAAGCAAGGACGCGTACCGATAGTTCGGCCCTCGCGGAGGGCCGTGGCAATGTGTTTGGGGAAGACTTGTTCCAACAGGGCGTTGTCTTGCAGCATAGCATTGCCCTTGCGCGCATTGATCTTCATCTTGCCTTCGAGGGGCTCAATGCGCCGCAACAATTCCACAAACGTGGGTCGTGTGTCAGGGTCTGCAGCCAAGGATTCCTATTGATGCATTGGTGTAAAAGATGAGCGCGTGTGTACCGCAAATATATCCAGTGTCCAGTGATTCCAGCCGTCGACGCGCGTGCAAACATACGTTCATCAAGACGCTAAACTCCGGGGGCATATTTGATGGTGCCGATGGGCGAAGTTTTCGGCGCACAACATTCTGAGCAAGGGTCTCTGAGTCAAAGTCGGTGTCTTCATATGGGTCCTCACGGGCAAAAATCTCAAACATGACGACGCCAAAGCTATAGACATCACTCGCAAACGAGGTCACGTCCCCCTGCAACAATTCTGTCAATGATGGGCCATGTGAGAACAGGCGTCTTCAGGTCCGCTGATCGCATCCTTGACAGCAAACTCACCTGGTGCCATCCACGCGAGGGTGCCGCCGCGCTGGCTGTGCTCGGAGGCAAAACCTGCCATGCCAAAATCGGATACTTTGACGTGGAATTTGCTGTCAACCAAGCAATTCTGCCGGCGCAAGAACAAAATTGGAATTAGAGGTGGTTATGTCATGGCAATCAAGAGCGCGAGCTCATGGCACAACTTTTCTCACCAGCGCCTTCAAGTCTCCATGAATGAGGTCGGCGTTGTGCAAGTAACGCATTCCACTGGTAATATCGTGGACAGCGTTGTAACGGAATTCGTCGTCCAGATCCATGGCTTCATTGTGGAGCATGCTGTACAAAGACCCCATCTCCATATACTCCCTAACGACAGACCGGTAAGCAGGCGGCATGAGCAGGTGAAACAGCAGGTCCTTCCCCTCTTTCCACTTGTCACAAGCGCGCGAGTCAGCAACAGTAACGTACAAAACCATGAGGGGTTCCATGCCAGACTCAATCACGGCGCCCATCATTCGGCAAATGTTATCGTGTTGCATCCGACTCAGAAGGCGCATCTCACGAAACAATTGGCGACGTGCTAAGGTCTCGGCGGAAGGACCAAACATGCGTTGGTACCATGGACGAGTAGACATGGTGGTGACGCGACCTGATTGAAAGGTAGAGCCATGGCTGGAGCTGGCAACCTTTTCAGCAATAGCTTCAGCCTCCACGAAGACGTTGCGCACATGATGCCGGGTTGTGCGATGTTTGCCCTTGCTTGTGTGACGATGCGAGCGGAAGGGAAGACCCAATGCGTTGTTCGCACTGCCCTTGATCATGCTGTCAGGGGCCTTGCTATCCGTCCGGTATTTTTGACGCTTGTTGACGTAGGCACGTTTAACCGCCACCCTCTGCCCGCGCAACTTGGCAGCCAGCACAACACCAAACGAGCCAGAGCCGAGAACCTCGGTGGGCTGTTCCAAGACGAGCTCGTGGGCTTCGATCTGCCAGATCCCATCGGCTTTCAGGCGCTGCCGATGCATTAGATACGCAACCAGCAGCACCACGAGAAACACCAATGGCACCAACAGCTCGGCAATGAAGACGCCCATGGGCTGGCACGTGGAGCCTAAGCGAACAAATCCCGCTTTGCACCGGCAGTTCCCGTTGGGGGTATACACCTCATCCGAGCTGCAGACTTTGACACAAGGCTCACAGACGCAAGAGTAGTTGATGTCACCACGATCAGGGCACGTGTACTTGGTGGAGCTCTGGCATGAAACGTCAGCGGCCTGGGCCCAACCAAAAGCGCAAACAACGTCCTCGATGTCGGAGCTCAAACTGTCGCAACTCTTGCTGACGCCATCGTCGATCATAATTGTCAGGTCCTCCTGCCGGGGTGGCGCACGTGCGTGTCAAATACGTGTGAACAAGAAGAACAAAAAAATAGTGTGGACCACGTTACTCGTCGACTGACCAGCAAATCAAGCGTATTGATGTAGGCCAGAGGGGGGCGAAAATAGCTGATGCTAGGTAAGCCGACTCGGACGAAATCTGTGTTATCAAACTCCAGAAGCTGTGCCACTGCGGTGTGAATCACCTAGAGGATAGGAAATGGACAAGGGCTATGAGAATGATGAAATGGTCGGCCAATGCCATGCCCGTGTATTTGTGCGATGTCATCAGTCTTTCGCACCAGCTCAGAAAGTTCACCGATCGAGGACAGAACCCATTCTAGGAGGAGCGGTGATTACAATGGCAAAGGCGAGAGTGAGCTACAAGTCTTTGGTGATTGTCGCTCAGGCACAGGTGCTCAAAGTTCTAACCGCCATAGAGATCGGTGGAGCAGCGGAAAGGATAAGCATCGCCGTTGCGCAATCGATGATTATATTCGTTGATAAAGTGGATGTCGGGATCGTAGACAAGCCCTCGCTTGATCATGCCTGAGGCACCGTACAGTGCGCCGTTGTCAGAGGTGAATGCTATGTTGCAATTCTTGCCATCGGAAACTCAAACTTACTTTCAATCACACCGCTTTTGACAAAGCCGACGTCGGCCACACCGTTCAACACTTCCCACACCACTTGTTCCGCATCACCCGTGTAAATGACCTGGTTGTCAAAACCACAAGCAAGCATAAGATTGGATTGTTACGTGATCGAGCATGGCAATGAAATGTGATGTGTTTGTCTCATGCCACATGGAGGATACCTGTGGAAAGAGGTCGTAGACGTTGTAATCATTGCGAAGGAGTTCTTGGCGTTGGGCTTGAAACCCCAGGAGAGAGTCACGACCAATAGCAGCCAATATTTTGCCCGCAAAGTCGTCCATAGTCTTCACGGCACTGTTGTTGGAGGCGGCAAACATGACACCGCCAGATCTTGATACATCGATGCCTACTCCAGCCAAAAGATCCAAATTATGAGATAGTCAGCTTCCATGAAAGCCTGAAAGTGGTCGCAATCATTGACAAAGACTCTCTCATCCTTAGCTGGCACGTACCATTCTGACGAAGAACAACGCTGGCCACCGGGGTCGCATCATACTCGGCAGCAAGACAGGCGAAAAAAGAGCTCGAGGAGTACGCCAGGTCGATTTTGCTAATGCGGGCGAGTTCACGAATCTCACGGGCCGTCCCAACTACAAACTCTGGCTCGACATCCAGCAGGCGAAAAGTGGCCTCCATTTCTTTACGAGCCTGGGCATATTCATCTAAAGGTTAAGACAAGGTGACCAACATGAGGGGAGTGCGGGGTTGGACAATAGTGCAACTGTAGTGTGGTGAGGCTTGGGGGCTTACAGTTGTTGACCAGGCCAATAGTAAGAGTCGATTGGGCAGAGGCGTTGGTTGTGGAGAAGCCGGCAGCCGTGGCTGTTGTTGATGCAGGCGTAGCCTGCGCATTAGTAGAGGTTGTGCTTAGCATGAAAGCCATGGCGAGAACATAGGGCAGCGCGTGGCCTGCCGACAGGCAAAGACCTTGCATGGTGGAGATGGTTTAGAAAAAAACAGAACTGCGACGGGTGTGTGTCGGGGGGGCGGTGTGTTGATCACTCTGGCTGTGACCCTGTGAAAAATGCCAGGGATGGAGTTGGGGCAGCACAAGTGATTGGACGATGGCATGGTCCGCTCATGAGAGGGCAGTCCTTGACCTGCTGGGTGGCAGCCGCCAAGGCAGTAAAGGCGTCTGTTGGTGTACAGAAGATCGCAAAACCGGCAACCGGCACAACGCCCAACAATGCGGGTTGTTGTTGGCAAGAAGTGACGTGAGATGGTGGGGTGGCGCTTTTCCAGGCGATCATTTATCTGCGAACGAGCAGTGTGCCTGTGGACCATATCGTTCTGGGCAGGTGCGAATGGAGCGCGAACACATCATTCTCACCAACAACTATTCATGACACACACCCTTACAAGCATGCTTGAGACCGCAAAAGGTTCTGTTGCGTCCGCAGTCAGCGTCCGACATTCACGAACCAGACGAAAAAGCTAAAACCATAGCGTGCAAGAAAGTAGGTGGACAGACCGTTGCGACTTGGGACATATCACCCAACCTTCCATCTACGAAAGCTATACTGCATGCATGTAAGTATGGAAGATCACGCGTATACCCATGTGTCCCATGATGTGTGACCCCACCACGTATGACACGCACACGATAACCACGTGAACGCAGAACAAAACCATACCCCTTCAGTCTCCTTGAAATTGAACTCTCGGGCATGTTAACGGCGGTGCGGGTCGCGGTATGTGCGACCGGTGCATTATTTAGGGTGCGTGGTGAGGCAGGATGCTTCATAGCACACTTACAATGGTTGTGGTGTTCGATGTATAACAACGCTGCACCCGCCTGTTTGGATTGGCTCGCTCCTTCGCGCTGGACATTGTTGTGGTTCTAATACTTGGAGGCGGGGGCGCATGGTCAATCATCCAAGGCGCGAAGCAAATTTCATGATGTTGTTTGCCCGCTGTTTTGTTGTGTGTTGAGTGAAAGGCAATTGCTGTAAGAATCTTCGTTTCGGGAGCATCGCCAATGCCTTGCACCTTGCAGCCACCACTACTCAGGACGATGATGACATTGTATGGAAGGTTCACAAAGATGAACCATGGCACAGCTCTTAGTCACGTCATGATGACTTTGCAGCCACTCATTGAATCGTCATCGCCTGATTACTTCTGCTGAACAAAGAAGCAGGAAGACACAAACTTCAGTCCATCATGTCCAAGCTGCTCCGAGCTACTGTGTGCGAGTTGAAGTGTTGGCTCGACCAAAACACAGCCCAAGTTGAACCTTCCCCACCTAAACCCCTGAACACAAGATCGAGGAGTAGCATGTGGCTTGGCATTGCCCTTGCAAGCAGGACCTGGAAAGATCATGATTTCACAGGAGATGCAGTCTGCTCGAAGGCGAACACTGTGCTGTGTTGAAGGATTCTTCTCTCAGAGAGGTTCTATTCGTTTTCAATTCGCTTATTTCTCACAAATCAAAGAGCAAAAGATCATGTCAGAGGCTGAAGAAAATGTACGTCTCACACGAGCGAGTCGGCGGTTATTTGCGACTCGGCCAGATCGATGGAGCCCAGACGGCTCAGAGACTCAGCTTTCGAAGAAGGGCTTCCTGAGGGTGATTCGACCAACACCGACATGGAATCATGGCCCAGTTGAGACTTAGATTTCCGAGGGGCGGTCTCATCCACAAGTTCCGAGGGGCTCATGTCAATGGTCACATCATCAAAAACCACACGCTGCGCCGGGTTGAGGGCCGAGGTCTTTTGCATCGATGCACGGCGAGAGCTGCGTGCGGAAGCAATGCTGCTCAGTGATTTCCGCGCCGGTTTCGCCACCACAGCCTCTTGGGTAGACGGTGCATGTCCCAACCAGTACGTCTGCATCTTGCCCAGGCCCTTGATCGTCACAACAGGATCACGACGAATCACGTTCAGCGACACATCCTGCTTCTGCACCAGCGCCGCCGCCTCCGGTGACATGTGAATGCAGTTCCGCACACTGTTGCTCTCCATTCGTGATGCACAGTTCACAGTCGATCCAAACAGACAGAATCGCGGCGTCAGCGTCCCCACCACATTGCTCACAACAGGCCCGCTGTGGAAGCCCACACGAATGTCAATGTGGTCGCCATCCGGCTCGTCCTCCAGGATCGGAATCGCATTGGCCCCCGCCAGCGCATCCATCGCAAACCGCGCCACACGCGCCGCATGATCCGGCTGTGGCGTAAACAGGTTGCCCACGCACATGTACGCGTCCCCAATCGTCTCAATCTTGTACAGTCCGTGCTTGTCGCACAGCTTGTCAAACACCGTGTACAGGCGATCCAGCATGTTGGACACCTGCACCGGCTCCAGCGTAGCGCTCATGTCCGTAAAGCCACAAATGTCCGAGAAGAAGATGGTCACCTCGGCATGGTGTTCCGGCTCTATGCAACACGACACACGACAACAAAATCAAACACCGTGTGAGGACATGGCATGTGCGTGACTTTTCCAACCCGAGACCCTGAGTTCAGACCAGAAAACTAGCGAGCCAGATAGCATCATCCAACGTACCAACTGTGCGACCTTCGCGCAGCGCCGCCGCAATGTGCTTGGGAAACACCTGCTCCAACAACGCGTTGTCCTGCAATCCGCCTTTGCCAGACTTGATTTTCATCTTCCCCTCCATTGGTTCAATGCGGCGAATCAACTCCACAAAAGTTGGACGCATGTCTGGATCCGTCGAAAGGGATTCCTAAAAGGTGGCAGTTTCCACGTACGCCAAGGCCCGCAGGTTAGATCTTGACGGGCAACACCTGGAAATGGCAACAGTCATCAGGACGTGGTCGCATTATCATGCGCGCTATCTTACGTTCATCAGGACAACAAACTCCGGGGGCATACTCGATGGCGGAGTGGGACGCAGTTTACGACGCAGAATATTTTGCACCAAGGTGGCCGAGTCATAGTCAACATCCTCGTAGGGGTCCTCGCGAGAAAAAATTTCAAACATGACAATGCCAAAGCTGTACACATCACTGGCAAAAGACGTTGTAGCGCCTTGCAGCAATTCTGTGCAAAAGAAACCACATTTTGGATGAGTTGATCGACACTCAACTCATAATCAAGTAATGCAAAGGCAAGCTTTGGGTTTGTGTTGCCCGACGTACCAGGCGCCATCCATGCAAGAGTGCCTCCTTGCTGCGTGTTTTCAGAGGCAAAGCTGGCCATGCCAAAATCAGACACCTTGACATGGAACTTGCCATCCACTAAGCAATTCTGATACACATCATTGGAAATATGCCCAGAAGTCGTGAGTACATTCTCTGTAGACTTGAAGAGTATTACACCAAGGCAGTGCACATGTGTACCTACCAAAGTCTTCAAATCACCATGAACGAGATCTGAGTTGTGCAAGTAGCGCATGCCCGTAGAGATATCACAGATTGCGTTGTAGCGGAACTCGTCGTCCAGCTCCATGGCTTCATTGTGCAACATGCTATACAAAGATCCCATCTCCATGTACTCCCTAAGAGTTTGGAATCAAGGCAGGACGCAAAACGTCGTCAGAGAATATATGTAAAGAGGCAAGAACGAGCCGTTCTCCGCATTTGCCGACTTACAAAACCATGAGTGGCTCAATGCCAGATTCAACAACTGCACCTAGCATGCGGCAAATATTGTCGTGCTGCATACGGCTCAACAGACGCATTTCACGGAACAGCTGACGGCGAGCCCTCGTCTCATCTGAGGGACCAAAGAGCCGCTCATACCAGGGCTTTGCCGCCATGGTTGTGGCTCGGCTCGACTTGAGACTTGATCCATGAATTGAGTTGTTCTTCTTTGTTGACGCCTCGGCTTCAATGAAAAGGTGTCGCATCTGTTGTCGAGCAACACGATCTCTGTCCTTGGGGCTATGGCGGTTGAGTCGAAGAGGTAATCCGAAGGCATTGGACGCCGTGCCCGTCTTCAAAGAGCTTTTTGTTTGAGTTGAGTACTTGCTGTGCTTGCTCACGTAGGCGCGTTTGACAGCAACTGTCTGCCCACGCATCTTAGCAGCAAGAACCACTCCAAAAGAGCCAGAGCCAAGAACCTCAGCAGGTTGCTCGAGAACCAACTCACTTGGCTTGATTTGCCAGATGCCATCGGCCTTGAGATGTTGTCGATGAATGAGAAAAAAGACCAAGAGGCCAATCAATACAGCAACCGGGATTAAAACTTGAGCAGCGAACACGCCCAGTGGTATGCAGCCGTAAATGCCAGGGATGTGCCCCGACTGACAGTCGCAACTATCATCGTCTTCATCGTAAACTTCGGAAGATCCGCAGATGGGCTCGCATGGTGCACAGACGCACTCGTACTCGAAGCCTTCACGCACTGGACAATCATACACATCGGAGTCTTCGCATGTGATGTCTTTGGTGTGCTTGTAGCCCACTGGGCACACCAGAGCACTAATGTTTGGGCTAAGACTTGTGCAAGTCTGCTCCAGTCCATTTGTGACCAAGATGTTCAGGTCGGCCTTTTGTTTTCACACAAGGTTAGTTAAGCACAACCAGTGGGGGTGAGCAAGATAACAAAGATCAAGAGCTTTCATATTAAGCCAACGCGAGCCAATTCATACCAGCATTGCGAGCGTATCTGCAAAGGCCAGGGCCGGACGCCAGTAGCTGATTGAGGGGATGCCCGCGCTCGTAAAGTGGGAATTGTCGAGAGTGAAAAGAGCAGAGATAGCAGTATGCACAGCCTATTTTCAAAAGATGCAGAGTATGCATTAGCTATCGTTCATAGACACTGCAAAGGGTAAAAGCAATGATGCTGCAAGTACGCAGCGCACTCACAGTTTCCGACATTTCTTTGACAGCGCTCATGACCCAGTCTGTGCGTTGAGAAATACAATGGCCATCAGAGCTTGCTCAAGCCAACGATGGAACCAATCTGGATCTGAGAGAAAATGATGGGTGCGTACCTCCATACATTGACGTGGAGGAACGGTAGGGATAGGCTGTGCCATCACGCAAGCGATGATTGTACTCGTTCAGGTACGCACATTTGGAGTGTGTAATCTTTCCCTCAGAACATTTCTACGCGAGACAAGCCAATTGAGCACCCAGTCCCTCATTGATGGGATCATACTCAAAGATGAGCACCGAGATGAGTAGCAGGCCCATGTTGTCACATACTTTCGATCACGCCCGAGGGCAAAAAGCCAACGTCAACAGTGCCATTGAGCACCTCCCACACGACTTGCTCACTGCTTCGCGTGAAGATGATCTAGCGAGACAAAAAAAAAAAAAAAGGGTGGGGGGGGGGGGGGGGGGGGGGGGGAGGCGGGGTTTTTGGCCATGGCCCGGAA